GTGTGTGTGTGTGTGTGTGTGTGTGTGTGTGTGTGTGTGTGTGTGTGAGAGAGAGAGAGAGAGAGAGAGAGAGAGAGAGAGAGAGAGAGTTGACAACGAGATCTGGTGACATTCGGGCATTGCCCAGTTCCGTGACATTGGACTTGACATTGTGTGAGCAGCGACATTGGAGATCCATTGGAGACTGGGTTCATCGGGCTATGGTGGCCGATCCTCCCTATCTCCCTCCTCCCTTCGTCTCTCCTCCCTCCTTTGTCCGCGGATGATTCGGACTCAGCGCCCCTTCCATGATTGTAGCACTGAGCGCACTCACACAGAGTGATCATGAGTGCTGTGAGGTCCTGTCATTGTCCCTGCTGAGTCAGATCCCGGTATTTCAGTCTTCCGTTGTGCTAGTTTTGTATTGTCTCTGAGAGGTCGGTTCTCGGTTCTGGTCGATGCCGATTAGGCATGTGACAAAGAGGAGGAGGTAGAGGAGGAAGAGGAGGAGGAATAGTCTAGTAGGAGGAAGAGGGATAGGAGGATAGGGAGAAGCAGGAAGAGGGGGAGGAAGAGGAGGTGGAGGCAAAGGAGGCGGCGGAGGAGCAAGAAGAGGATGGGGAGGAGTAAGAAGAGGAGGAGGCTGAGGCAAAGTGTACTGTTCGTGAACACAAGGCGGTAGTTATCAATCCTTCGAAATGACCACTGATTAGTTGCCGTGGTGCTGGAAATAAGCACTGTGGAATCAAGCTGGAGTGTGTTTGAGAGGTGCTTGTGCACCCAGGACAAGAGCATAAGAGAAACGTGTTAGACGTTTGAGAAGGACTGCTGTGAAACACCTGGAACATAAGACGAAGGTCTTTCCGCTCAACTTTTGCAAAGTGTGGGCTCTCGGAAATCAATCTCGAAGCGAAGATTGTTTTTCCTGCAGTTCTTTTCATCTATTTGTCTTTCGGTTCTCTTTAGGCACGAAGTGCAACTTGCACATACGGTTCGGGAAGGGTTCTCTGCTTTTAATAGCCTTTTATAAACAGTTAGCAAAACAGTGGGCCTCACTCCACGACTCTCAAGATGTGCAAAAAGAGTGTGAATCTTCCGCTAGAACATGGAAATATACACCGCCATGATTTTTATCTTTTGTGCATGTCGAGAGTAGTGGAGCGAGGCCCAGTGTCTTGGTTGGAGGCATTTCTGCGAACAAAATAATTTTTGTTGTCAATGGCCACACCGCGAGGGGGAACCGAAGAAGGAAAAAGGTGCAGGCATCCAAACAAATGCGGGAAGGCGTACAGAGGCATTGGAGCAAATATGATCTTTTGACAGATAGATGTTTAACACAGCTGCTGTAACTCGTGTGCCACATCGAGCCGCTGGGCTCTGGTTGCGCCCTCAGACAAGCATGAACGGGCAGGCCCTGAAAAAAGGGGTCAAACAGGCGCTCGAAAACGGCCCAGACCGACAGTTGACTGAAAATTCAACAGTCAGCACGTGGACCCAGGCCCAGATCCGAGAAGTCAAAGTCAACACAGAAGATTTCCTGGACGTCGATCTGGAATGATCTAACAGTGGTCTGCAGATTCCAGAAGATTCAGGCCTCAAGGAGTCCAGGCCGAAACTGGGACAAATCGGATCTGAGCCGTCGACGTTCGGGAGAATCCGGGGCCTTCCCACATGGACAGACGCTGACCCTGGACAGCGTGAGTCAACATTATATAAGGTTGACCTCGCCACTGCTTGGGCATTCAGTCTTGCGAGTTGTTTGCGGTTTTGATGCTGCACGTGAGACTTGAGGGGAGGGCGCTGGTGTCAGGCTGTTTCGTGGGCGCCAGCCAGTTACTGAAGTAGGAGAGGAGAGAGAAGGCAGCCATTGCTGCGACCATAGACGACGGCGAGGTAGTGAGGAGAGAGAGAGAGAGAGTGGGGGCGAGGGGTGATGTTGTTTGCGCGTACCTGGTCTTACCTGATGTGACGCTGCTGCTGATTCTGCTCGCTGCTGGAGGTGCTCATCTGCGAGGGGCTGCGTTGCATCATCCACGTGTCATACTGTGTTCAGGTCGCTGACGTGGCAGAGGTGGGAAGCCTGGAGGAGAAGTGGGACTTGATTGCTACGATATTCTTCTTCCTCCATCTGTCTTTCATTCCCCCTCTCTTTTCTAATCTGGATACTCTTGACTTGGAGACTTTACACGTGGATATAAAGGATCATGTACTTCATTGACTTCAAATTGATGGACTGGCTGGAATGATTATCTGGACGTTGCATGGCATTGTTATCTCACGACGTTGCTATCTGACGACGTGATCATTTGACGAGACTGGCCTCATTACATAGCCCTGAATTTTCAGCGTTTTCTTTTTCTCACGGCATCTGGAAAGTTAGTGTAAATGTACCCCCCCAAAACCTCTTCTAAGTTTTGAGGAGTTTCATGACTGTTCTTATTCCCGCCGTGTTTTGCATGATTGAGTCTGTTTGGTGCCATTGAGACTATTTTCAAATAGCATATCCGGGACGCATGCGAGAAGGTCCTAAATTTTGGCACACGCAAGCAAGCCTTGACTTAATCCACCAGTACCTTTCTCAGCCAATTTCTTCCTACGTGTTTGTATACGACAGCGATTCGGGGCTTTGGTCTATGGGACCTCTTTGGCTGGCAGCGGGAGCCAAAAAGAAAGAAAAAAAATTGCACCACGCCAGTTTGTTTGTTTTTGGCGTGCTGCTTTGGGAAAAAGAGGCTCGGAGGCACTGGGGGTTGAAAACGGGGCTAAAGGAAAGGGGGAAAAACGGGGGGGAGGGGGTTAACCTATAAGCTGAAACTACTGGTGTCAAGTTGTGTCCTCTTTTACGAATGATCTGAACTGTGAAATTTGCATATGCCTGAATCTCTGATGCTTTGATTTTCCTGTTCTTTCGCTGCCTTTTTCTTGTCTGCAGTTGTGCCACTTGTGGGTTGGGGTACATGCATTGCCCTGGCCATTTCGGCCACATCGATCTGGCGGTCCCTGTTTATAATCCGATGTTGTTAGGTGTGCTTGTAAAGCTGCTCAAGAGCAAATGTTACAACTGTCACCATTTCAAGCTGCATGAGAGTAAGGTAAGTTCGAGGGGGGAGGTGTTGGATTGTGGATTGGGAGTCGGCCCTTTGAGAATTCCAGGGGGAGTCAAAATCGTTCCCCTTTGAGAAATTGAAAACAGAGCTTGTCTCGTTAGAAACAGCGCGATCACAGAACTGGGAGGCCTTCCACGATTCAGACCCCAAATTCGGACTTCAGGGGCAGATGGCCACGTCGAGGAAAGGCCGAGTTCGTCAAACTCAGAAAAGTCACAATCGGGTACCTCAGCAGTCTTGTCCAACAGGCACCCAGCAAACAGTCACGTCTCAGGGACAAGAGTCACGTCTCATAATAAAAACCATTCAGAAGAGTCACATCCCACGAGTGAAAAGGCAGATTCACCAAAGGTAGGAGTCACGTCTCAAAGGTAGGAGTCACGTTTCCTAATGAAAAGTCATATTGAAGAGACACATCCCACGTTCACAAGTGAAAAGGTAGAATCACAGGCAAAGGTCGTGACCCACAGGCAGGAATCATGTTCACAAGTGAAAAGTCATGATTCAAAGGCCCAAGCAGCAGCAGTCCAATGGAAATTCGGGAAGGTTCCAGGCCTTGACATTCAGTAGCAGACAGGCCGTGGGGATGTGGTACCGGAACCAGTCAGGACCCAAGAAACAGAGNAATGGAAATTCGGGAAGGTTCCAGGCCTTGACATTCAGTAGCAGACAGGCCGTGGGGATGTGGTACCGGAACCAGTCAGGACCCAAGAAACAGAGGCTGGCACGAGTTGAAGTGCAAACCAAGACTACAAAAGGACTGGCCAGCCTCACATTCAGGCAGATTGCTCATTCGCAAAGAGTGTGGAAGTGCTGGTGCACTTGTGCGCTATTGTGAGGGGCAGGGCGCTGAAGGCAGAGTGCTGCGTAAAGAGGGAGAGAGAGAGAGGAAGACAGTGCTGGCCGAGAGAAGGCAGCCATAGCTGCACCAGCACGGGGTGTTAGTGTTAGTATTTAGTAGTAGTCTTCAGAGAGTTAGAGTTAACAGTGGATGTATTCAGAGTAGATCCACAAAGTAGTAGATAGTGAGTGTGAATGCATGTAGGGAGAGAAGACACAGCGAGGTCATAGCTAGGGAGAAGACCAGCAAGGTAGAAAGATACATGAGAGGGAAGAGCAGAGGGGAAGAGATACTTACCTGAGAGTTTATGCTGATTATTGGTTACCTATTGGCATGCGCTGATGAGCGCTGGTGACTTGAACCCTTACTGTTCTTGTAATACTTTCTGGAAGAGATGAGCTGCGCTACCTGGTCTTCATCTCCCTGGTCTCCAGTCTGAATTTCGTGTGAACTCATACATGCATGTGGTGTGAATATGTGCACTCACTGGTGTTGAACTAGGAGGTTCATTGCAGGACAGCATGGCGGAGATAAACTCAGCAAAGAAGGTACAGAAGAGCCAGAGTTTAAGAAAACAGGGAGTCGGTCTCCAGGGCACAGGGGAGAGCAGCAGGGTGTAGGGCGTAAGGAGAGCGCTAGCTTACACGCCTCAGGATTCGGCAGCCTTCCTTGATGGCGAAGAGATGCCTCAAGTTGCTTACGCGCTAGCTTACGCGCCTCAGGATTCGGCAGCCTTCCTTGAAGCTACATTCCCTTTCTTTTGGCGATTTGTAGCAGTGTTTGTCCAATTTCTAGTTTCTCAGACTTTCTCTTCCTTCGAATTGCGGCCTTGATAGTGCGGCTCTGTTACTTGGCCAGGATGAGCAGGCTGGGAGTTTGAAACATGGGACGCTGGATTACTTTGGGTTGAGATGTGGAGGGATTGCCGGCCTCCTTTTGCTCTTATAATAAAAAAAAAGAAAATTATTTGGAAAAAGAAAATCATTTGAAAAAAAGAAGAAGAAAAGAAAAGAAAATGTCTCCTGATCTGTCTTCTGGGTCATCCGGTAAAATTGGAACGATGCAGAGAAGATTAGCATGACCCCTGCGCAAGGATGACACACATAAATTGAGAAATGGTCCCCCCCCCTCCACCC